GTGGAATATCCTGACATGCTTGACTCTAAAACAAACCAGAGTCCTAGTTCTGGATACACCTTCCTCCTGGAACGGGCCTTCTTTCCACCGACTTCCTTCCCATCAACATTCCTGAATGCCTGAGTCCAGTCAAAAACATGCTCATTCCCTCCAAGACACCAGTTACTGAGCTGACTTCTTGTTTGGCTCCCTTGTGTGTCCACACATTTCTCCTTATCCCTGTTAACTAACAGGTTACTTCCTCTTCTTCTACCCTGCTTTCCACAATACCAGTCTTTCCACCTTCAGCATCAAGCCTTCCATACTGGCAGTGCTTGGCATTTTTCTTTCTACTTTGCATTTTTCTCACTATTACTTGTTTTTACCAGCTGAGGAGGGGACCTAATAAAAGGAAAGAATTCGTCCTGGTCATTTTTCTCTCTACACAATTGTGTAAAGCAAAGAAATTCCACTATTACTTATGCTTTGAATCTCCCTGAATTCTCCTACAGTTAGGGAAAACACTTGAGAATATATCTCATAACTGTATGGCATGTAAATAAAATTTCATTGTGCTCCGTATTTTGTGAGATCTAAATATTTACATAAAGGCTTTTGCTTCTAAACTTTGGTTTCCCTAGAACTTGCTCTGTGCATGGATTCAGGGTTTACTGAAAAATAGAAGATCCAAAATTTTCACTTTAGTTCTCTGCTATGATTAAAGTTTGCTTTTTTCCTATTGTGTCCTTGGAATTAATTAGCTTTGTTTTACTGGTCTGAAAGACTGCAGAGAGTCACATTTTTTCCACATTCACATATCAGTTGCTCTTTAATTGTGTGCGTATTTTGATACTGTTTATTTTTCATAATGTAATTCCTCAACTATTATTGTTAGGCATTACACCTTTCTTGCATCCTGCCTCGTATAAAGGACGAGACCATTACCCAAATAAGCTTGGACAACTCTCCAATATCATAGTAAATGACAGCCATATTAGGAATAGACTATTTGAAAGTTCTGGAGATATAATCAGATGTCACTTGCTGTCCAGGGCAAGTTTCAAACACCCTTACACATAAAAGTTTGAGCAAAAATCCCAGTTGGACTGCTTTTTTATGAAGATCTTGGACAAATAAATGCAACATTTTAAGCTCTAGGAATAGATGCCTCTGTTGTGGAATGGGACTTCCAATCTTGTTTTTGCCAGGTTATTTGAGGACCCGATTTGTGGACGCTTGAGAAGAATGAGATTGGACAAATGTTCAGTAGCAAGTCATTTCATGGTCTTGCCCAGTGCTGATATCGGGGATTCTAGGAGGCTGCTTAGTAAGATGGGCCACTCACACAGTGATTTCCCAGGTCCTCTCTTACCCCAGCCCCTCTTTCTCCACCTAGAAGACACACCTCATATGACCCTTCATATACCTGAAACATCCTAGTCAAGAAGTGTAAGTCCTTAGGGGAGCCTGGGTGGCTCAGTCGTTAAGCGTCTGCCTTCGGCTCAGGTCATAATCCCAGGGTCCTGGGATCGAGCCCTGCATCGGACTCCCTGTTCAGCGGGAAGCCTGCTTCTCCCTCTCCCACTCCCCCTGCATGTGTCCCCTCTCTCGCTGTTTCTCTCTCTGTCAAATAAATAAATAAAATCTTTAAAAAAAAAAAAAAGTCTAAGGCCTTATTTCAGTCAGAGACTGCTTATGAGAAATTTTCCTACCAAGTAATTATTGGAAAATGCTCATCTTGGGACTTGTCTTTCTGCCCACTAGGACGTTCTTTCTCAGTCTCTTGTCCTATAGTAAGTACAGAGGTGTCAGCCAGACCCACGGATGGGACTGGTACCCACCCGTCCGTCTTAGACAATAGCAAAAAATTTTCAAGTTCTTAAATTCACAACTCTAGCTTAAAAGCACTGGGCACAGTATTTTGCTGCTTGCATTTTTTATCCTGATTTGGTTGAGGCGAATCCTGCCCTCTGGGGCTTTTTGTTGAAGGAGCCGCCCCACAAATAAAAGAGGGAAAGAAGCCAGCTGAGAGGAGGGAGGCCTGGATAACATCATTTGCATGATTCACACCTGACCTTCTTTCTTATTCCCTGTCCTGTTCTCCTCAGCCAAGCTCTTACTGCTCAGACCAGCGTGTCTCCTCTGTATTCCAAGTGTGAAATGTCAGAGGTAGCAGCCAAAGATAGAGGTGGTCAGGTCACTATTCCATAGTGGTTGGCAGCATGGGTTTTGATATAATGACGAATGAACATGGGTTGGTTTTTTTAACCCCTGCAGCCTTTAACTTAAAGTACCACATTAGGTCAGGTGGCCACCAATGCATAAATGAATGTTGGATTGGTGGAATCTAGTATCCTTTGGACCGGTGAGGGCATTGGGTATTTTTGTATCCTTTGGGTAAATACCTAGTAGTGCAGTTGCCGGATCCTAGGGTAGTTCTATGTTTAACTTTTTGAGGAACCTCCATACTGTTTTCCAGAGTGGCTGCACCAGCTTGCATTCCCACCAACAGTGTAGGAGGGTTCCCCTTTTTCCGCATCCCCGCCAACATCTGTCGTTTACTGACTTGTTAATTTTAGCCATTCTGACTGGTGTGAGGTGGTATCTCATTGTGGTTTTGATTTGTATTTCCCTGATGATGAATGATGTCGAGCATCTTTTCATGTGTCTGTTGGCCATCTGGATGTCCTCTTTGGAAAAATGTCTTCTTTCAGGGTTTTTGTGTCTCATCTTGGTGTCAAAAAGAGTAAAGATCAGGTTTTGAGTAGGGACCAAGAAAGGTAGAGAGGTCAGGACTTGAATAATTCATCACTGAACAATCAAGTCGTTTTTAAAGAGGTTCAACAGTATTTATCCTGAGAGATTATTAAAATTTTACTTCATTAAAGCAAAACTTTAGGAGAGGAATTCTTATTCTTTCCAATTTTAGTATATGTGCTGCCGAAGCGAGCACTACTTACTCTTTCCTGCATTGAGTTTCCCCCTTCTTCCCAATTGCCTAGTAGGAAGTCTTCTACCAAGAGATGGGAAACCTGGATTTCATAACAGCGGAAAACTGGCCTTCTATTCCCTGGCATTGCATTCCAGTAATACCATATCAGAGTTTGACCTAGTTATTTCATACAGACAGCTGATGCCAAGTCATTGAGGCTTTCCTCCAGTGAGGCCATGGTCTTCTGTCACACATGAAAGACGTGTGTGCAGACCAAATTACGTGGGAGCTGCCTGCCAGCCCGTGCGGCTGAGCAAGGGCCGTGCGCGGGAGAGTGCCTGGAGCCATGTGCAGATGTGGTGCTCATTCCAGGCCTCATTCTCCAGACCTTCACTTCACTGAGTCCGGCTGGATGCCACCAAGGGCAACAGAACGTGGGCTACAGAGAACAAGTGGCTTTTGTTCAAAGCTTTTCAGACATCTGTAATTATGACCAGATTTTTGTGACTCTGTTCCACCCCACCCCACCTCCCCTTTGCCATTCTGAAGAAATTATTCTTTTTTTTTTTTTTTCCACTCTACACAAAATTTTCCTCTAGCAGCCGCCCTTGCTGTGACCAATAGTAACATCTTCATTGAAAGGAAGAGAAATGGAAGGAGCCCAAAGTACTTTGTGGCTGAAATTTTGTATAGCTCTAAACACTTTTTAAAGCTGATGGATGTTCAGTAGCTGAAATTGTAAATAAAAGAACTGAGTAGTGCACCAGCCTAAGGCACGGATGTGTCTGTTGTCCTGGCCCCTCGGTGCTCCGGCTAGGGAAGTCAGTCTGTGGTTAGAATCCCTGGTTAAGTGCGACTGGCATTGAGGGTGTGTTGAGTTAGGTTACACCGGCAGCCTGCACTCCAAGGTGGAAGTAACCTGCTAAATGGGAGGCGGCTTGACTGCTAGCAAGAAACCTTCACCGGTTCCCTGGTGGAAAAGAAAGGAATGACAATTATCAGGTTGTATACATTCACCAAAAGATTGATCTTTTCAAAAGTGTGAAGAAAAGGAAGAAGGGGTGGTGGTAAAATTAGGTGATTTTTGTATGAATTGATGCTAAAGTACAGAGAAGAATTAATCCCATTTAGTGATTAAGTGGTTCTACCAAATGACTACAGAATGCAATATCCCCATGAGTTTTTAATGAAAAAAGAAGTTAAAAATTTAAAAATACTACTTATCAGTTAAAAAGTAGTCTGATTTTTAAACAGCAACAAAATTCACATCAGCATCCCCACAAGCTGTGCGAGAAACACAAACCCAGGTCTTTGCTTAGAGCAAATTAAAACAATTCTTTCCAAATCCACATGGTAATAAAGATTGTTTAAACTCTGTTAGGTCTGTGATGTGACATTATTTCTTTATTTTTAAGCCATAAGGCTTTTAAGCTCTAAACTAAAGGCTCATTTATTGTTGTTGCTGGGGTCATTTGTTTATTGTTTTATTTGCTAGAAGTGAAGGACTATCTTTTGTGGATTTGAGAACAGATACCAACAACTGTTGTAGCTTTTGTGTTTATCGAAGCATCATCTGGTGTATGTTTAATGTTCTAAAGTGGTGCCTTCTGTAAAGTGGTGAGGTCCAGAGAGGTCTTGAAAAATGATGAAAAGGTTAGAAAATATGACTTAGGAAGGATGAGATTTTCATAAACAGTGCTTCGTCTTCGATTTTTCTTCTTCCTAAATGAAGAAGAAACTAAACTTCACTCCTTCACATAGGTACCTCTGGTTACTGTGTTTATTTACAAAGTGATACTTCTTTGCTGTTCAAGGAGGGAATAATTCTGAGATGATTGTGTTTACATACAAAATACTGATATATTCCCATGTGTTTGTAGAATAATCCTAAACTGCTCAATTCAAGGACTTCTTTCACCAAGAACATGTTATGCTTGCAAAGATCATGGTGACTGTGACCTCTTAGTTAAGTAACTAGCAATGGATTTTTTTTCCTCTATAAACACACCGATGTACCTATTAAAACTAGAAAATAAACAATTATAAATGGACACTTAAAAATTACATTAACATTTGTTTTCCCACACAGGAAGAATTTAATGGAAAACCCGACTCCCTCTTTTTTAATGATGGTCAGCGAAGAATCGACTTTGTTCTAGTATATGAAGATGAAAGTAGAAAAGAAACCAATAAAAAGGGTTCAAGTGAAAAACAAAGGGTAAGATTTTGTGTGTGCTATTCTCCTTTTCATTTCTTATTAAACTGTGAAGTGAAAAAAAAAGTGCTGTTTTTATGTAAGCAATAAAGTGAAACTGGTGTTTGAGATATCATGTACCAAACATGCCTTCATATTTTCTCTGCTCATCATTCCCTCAAGGCATCTTAACAAATTTTTTTTTTTTTTTTAAATATGAAGCAGAAACTTCCTCAGGTGCTTAACCTCAGTGGGTTTCACAGCTGAAGGCAGACTTTCTTCTAAGGAATTGTACTTTCTATCTGTCGAAGAGATTTACATTAAAAGCATACTTGGCTATTTGCTACAAGGTGGGAGAGGAAGCTAATGATTAATAATGACAGCAAGTGTAGTAACAACTAGCATTCAGGGTGCTCTCACGGATGGTATGAGCCTCGTGCATGCATTGTCTCACTTTCTTTTCATAATAACCTATGAGGTGCATTCTATTATCGTACCGTTGTAGATGACAGAAGTGACCCTGAGGTTAAATGATTGCCCAAGGTCACCGACTCTAGGATGAGAAATAGTGAAGCCATGGTTCACGATTCTTGTCTTGAATCGAGAACCCACGCTAGTCACCTCTCCCATTTTCTGTCACTTCCCTTCCTTTTTATCCATTACCAGTTAAGCTGCTCCTTCATCCCTTTCCTTTTCTTCAAGCTCTTCTAAATGACAAGACTATTTTTATCTTGCGATAGTAAACCATTTAGTAGGCTAGGGTTATAACAAATGCCTGGACCTTCTGTACCTGAACCGAAACTGTATTAAGCTGAAACAGGACAAAAGGGAGAGAGCATACATGTGTCACTCTTTCCCACTTTGAAAATGACTCCCTCATTCTTTGTTTTGTTTGTTTGTTTGTTCTCACCTCTATGCTTTTATATACACACAACTTTAATTGTCCCTCTCTGGACTTTTTCTCTGAAATACATCATTCCTAAATCTATTGATTTCTGCCCATTCTTTCAAACCAGCTGATGAAATCTGCTTAAAATGAAGCAATCATGCCTGTTTTGTTTTGTTCATTTTGGAAGGGATAAGTTTAGAGGTCTGTATTTGCGTGGTATCACAGAGTAAACCCAGGCATTGGAACTTGACATTCAAATTCTAATTCTGCCACTCCAATTATTGGTGTTAACTTTAGGAAATCAATATGATTTAGGACTTACTAACTTTAGGTTATGATTTAGGATTTATTAACTTTAGGAAATCAATAACAAACTGAACTCTAGTGGCTTAACACAATAAAAGTTTACTTATTGCTCATGTCAAGTCAGATGTGGCATCCCTGTTTGGCAAGATGGCAAGATGGGTTGGGGGGAGGGGCCTCTGTCCTTTGCAGTCACTCAGGGACTCAGGCTGACACAGAAGCTTTGCCATATTCAACAGGTAGTTTCTAAGATCATCCTGGGCATTAACATAAATAATAGTTTAAGAGAAAGGATGGAGAAAGTACTTGTGCTTCTTTACCACTTTGGCCTGGAAGTGACAACATCAAGTATGCCACATTCTGTTGGTCAGGACTCAGGAAAGTGGAAAATGTCATTTCTGACTGGACAGCCATTTCTCCACCGGAATGCCACACTGTGGAAAGAGAACATGAATCTTTGGCGGACAGCTGGCTTCTTGACCACAGCTGTTAACTGGCTATATGACTTGAGTGAATTTTCTGATTGGTATCCTGTTTTATTATTATTCTTGAGATGCATGTTATTTTTACATTTTGGCTTCTTTAAAATCAGGGTATGTCTTACAAATGACATATCATAATTTCATTGGCTGAATTTTTCCTATTGATATGTAAAATATTTGTTCATCACACAGTGATGACATCTTAGATTTAGGAAGTGAGATCCAATACCCAATCCATAGGATTGTGGCTAGGATTAAGTAAAATATTATATAGAAATATTATATAAATTGTTAGCACATTTTAGATAGTAGATATTAATTCCTCTACCTTTTATTTCCAGTTTTCTTAAAACAGTGTACTAATACAAAAAGGCATGACTCCTCTTTTGTTACTATATAATTTGTATATATGTATGGATATATACATATATATAAATTTACTAGAGTAATATAGCTTAGAATGTTTAATCATTTTCCTGTGGACACCAAGATATATTATGTGCAGTCATAGTCACCGTCAAATACTCATTAAGCATCCATATGCCGGTGGAACTGCATTGAGCGCTATATAAAGTAAGTTAAACAAATCTAATCCATTAAAGTGTAAAGGAGACAGTTCTGGTTTTAGACAAGAGCTTCACTGCCATGGTGAAGGGGCCCCAGAGCTGCTTACATTATTAACAAGTGCTGCATTAGTTTTACACAGAAACATAGGTGCCAGGGTAACTCTCATAAATCAGGAGAAAAAAAAAATCATCATTAATTTGTCAATCTCTGAACTCAACGGATAGATGTACCATGATGTTGGTTTTTATAAGCCGTGCTTGAAGTGCTTTGAGTCTGTTTTTGTGCATATTACTTAGATTCCACCAGAATTTAAAGCTCAGCTTTGGAATCACATATTTATTAATCAGAAAAATATTTGTGAGTTCCATCATGCCCTCTGTCAGGCCTTATTCAGGATTTAGGACTCCACCAAAGAAAGGCAGTTTCAAAATCCTGTTTTCTTTGAGAGAAAAAAAAAAATTATGTCTAAATCATATTGATTTCCTAAAGTTAACACCAAGGTAGACTTTGTCAGTGTCTGATCTAAAGAGTATTGTTAAGTACTTTCTAGAGATGGAGAAAGAGAGAAGTGATAGGGCCACAAAACATAGAGGAGTAAACATAGAGGAGTGAAAGGCTGCATCTTCCCATGAGCAAAAGAGAAAATATTTTTTCTAGTCAGATCTCCAAATAGCATGTCACCTTGTCCTATATTAGTGAAACTACTTCAGGAACTTCACACCTTCCTTTAAAAAGTATAAATCGTTTACATTTAGATTAGGCATGGGGAATGACTGTAAGTTGTTTCAATAATATGTGCCCATTTAGCCTGCTGTCCTTGGCACTGAATCACTTTGAATATTTTTTTACTGCAAGAAACAGGAAAACCAAACTCAAAATGGCTTAAGTGCTAAAGGAAATAATTTTCTCACTTAAGAAGTAGCCTAGAGATAAAATCATTTCTGGGTTAGGTAGTTCAGTGGTTTAAAGAGGTCATCAGGAATTCATCACATCCGTCTGCCCTGCCATCCTCAAAATGTTGCTGTTCTTAAACTGACTTTACCTTGTTACAAGATAGCCATTGTACTTCAAGGCACCTGAAGGTGGGAATAGGTAATGCCCTTTTTTAAGGGGGAGGAAAGCTCCCCCTAGAAGGGCCCTAAGCAGATTTCCCTTCACAGTTAATTGTCTATCACGGGTCTGTTCTAAAAATGACTGTTGGCAAGATGAATGGAATTACTTAGCATCATTAGCATAGACAAATGAAGATGAGTCTTTCATCTCTTAAATTGCCTGATCACCCAATACCTGAGAAAGCATCAGGCTTTTCTTAGTAGTAGAGAAGGGAGAAATGACTGTTTACTAGGTAGCCAGCCATGTCTGGCACAGCACATGATTAATTGTATCTAAATATGTTCAATGTACATTGGGAAGAGCAAAGATGTTCTAAATGAAACAAATGTCTATATTTTTCTCCAACTGTTTCTGCTCAGTTTTGTCAGTAATGTTTCTTCCAATTCCTTTTCCTAGACCTGCAAACAAGTGGCAGAATCGATCTATTTAGAATTTTGTTTTGTATGACACTTGGTGTCCCTTCAAACAGATGAGTTTATGACCAAGTAAAGGTATAATTCAGGTGACAGTAAAGAGGGTGGAGGGGTCAAGGTAGCACAAAGACAGTATAAGCAATCCTGAGTTAAGTTTATTTAACTTTCTGTCTGCACAGTCCGTTCCTAAAAGTTAATGGAAAACTTATTTCCTTGAAGCTGATGTAAATTTCATACATGGAGATGTAAATTTGTATTTCATATCTGACTTTAAGAATTCTTTAGTAGGTGGCAGAAGGATCTGGCCAGTGGAGATCATAGCATAAGAGGTTTTTAAGAAATGAGCAATCAAATTAAATTATATCCTTTAACTTCAAATAATGTGAGACAACTAACTGATTGGTTACAGATCCTGTGAGCTTTTAAAACTGTTGTCCCATTGTTTTAGATGCATTATCATGAGGCTGGAAATGTTTGCCTAGAAGCTGGATGAGATCTCTTTGGACATGTTTCAAAGTTCATCAAAAAGTTCTAGTACAGTGAATATATTACATCACTCCATTTACTGAGGTCTTACATTTTTTAGTAAACTTTTATAACAGTGTCCATGAAGATCTTATACTTTTTTTTTTTAGTTTTAGGTGTACAGTTTAGTAAGACTCAAGACTTACAATACCCAGTGCTCATCACAGGTGCACTCCTTAATCCCCATCACCCATTAACCCATCCTTCCACCCACCTCCCCTTTGGTAACCATCAATTTGTTCTCTATGGTTGAGAGTCTGTTTCTTGGTTTGTCTCTCTCTTTTTTTCCCCTATGATCATTGCTTTGTTTCTTAAACTCCACAGATGAGTGAAATCATATGGTATTTGTCTTTTTCTGATCTTGTACATTTTTATTAAATATTCTTATTTTAAAATTTTATTGATATTTTAAGAAGCATTTTAAACTGTGGTTTGTGATTTATTGTGTTTTAAAAAATTTCATTGATTTTTGTAAGTTCCACCTAGAAACCTTGACAAACTTTTTAATTCTAATAGTTTCCAATGCATCTTTTAAGTTTTCTCAGAAAAAGACCAATTATCTGTGAATGGTGAGAGTTTTGCTCTACCTATGCCATTTTTATAGTTCTTTCCTTTTCTTGTTGAAGTGCAACGGCTAAGACCTCTTGAATAAAACCAGTGATGCATAGTAGTCACCATTATAGTGTTCCTGATTTTATTGGGAATGTTTCTAAAATTTCCCCAAAATATCACACCTGCTATAAG